GATAAAAAAATTGACGCCGTTAAAATGGGTTTGCGTTAACGCCGTTATTAACGCGTTTAACTGACAGCACTAATGCATATATATAAATATTTGCAGCAAGCTCATATATAGGAAAACGGTTGCTGCCCACGAATGGCCTCTATACATAAATCATCATAATAGGAGCATACACTGAGAAGATTTCAAATCATCATCACAAATTAATCTTAAACTTTCACAGTTGTGTAGCTTTTGTTGTCTTTTACACCTCAGTGGCATCATGTATTTATGCATCAGAAGTGCTCATAATGGTTTGTTGAAATTGTTGTAGTTTCTTCCTGGAAGCATAGCTTAATGCAGGTTAAAGCAGGGGAGTCCAGATTGAGTTATAGTAGAGGTGCCTGCATGCTTCTCTTCTTTTGCTTCCCCTTCAGTTCACTCCAACAGTTTGAAGGAGGTGTCCTGTCCAGTGATATTAAGCATATTTCGGTGAATATTTCATATTGTATATGCTTCAGAAATGGTCAGAAAGGTGTTGTTTTAATTCTAGAATCATAAATCTGTAGATTTTGGTTGTGGTTTATGTTGGATTTCATTACATTGTAAGGTAAGTGTGTTGCTGTGTTGAAGGAAAGGTACAGCCAGTGATGGCAAATAGTTCAAAATGTACAATCAGTCAATACATTTTTTATACATCATCATTAATTCCTGGTGCCTACTTCTGCACATAGATGAAACTAATATATTAGCAAGAATGATAGAAAAGTACAAAGTGGGGAAGCGTTCTCTCATAGAACTAAACAAATAGCCCACTTTGTGCTTTTTGAGTAATAGAAAATTGAAGAGTCTGCTGTGAGAGCTCTTAAACTCCTCATGTAGACTATTTTGGTCTTGAAGTCAAGTGGTCCAAAGCTATTACAGCAGCAGGGTGTCTCATTCCTGAAACCTTTCACATAAATGTACTTCCAGCCTAGTGCTTTCAGAACAGGCCAGCTATTCTAACTCAAATCCTTAGGTTGTGTGTGTGCACCCATTCTGTGTCTACCTTGCGCGGTAGCTGGATTCACAAAATCACAAGACCAGGCAACAGTCAGTCTTGCCAGACTTCAAATTATGTGTTTGTGTTCAAACCATCGTGGTTCAGACCAATCAGCTTGCTTTGAGGAATTACTTGCAGCAATTGACTATTCGTTTAACAACAACAATGGCAGCTCCTAAAGAGATGCTGCTAGCATCAGTTATATCAGAACAAAGAAGAGCAAATAACTAGCTTACCGATTCTGTGATCTGATTGGATGAAGTTCACCAGTGATAGACAGATAGTTCATCCAATCAACCTGCCAAGACATCTTCCCAGATGGCGCATCAGGTTAATTCTGTGTGCCACTAACAAATGAGTGTGAGATTGACAGGTGGATCAGTACAGGCTTGGTAATGCAGGCATTGACTGCTGTGGTATAGAGGGAGTTGAGCATGAAGTGGAACCTCTAAATTAACAAGTTGATCAACTTTTCAACCCAGACCTATGGTCATGGCCAGAAGAACGAGATAATGGATACTAGTAGCAGAAAAGGTTAGGGTTTAAGTTTAACTCACAGGATGTCTGGGCTCAGAACACTCCACAGAAAGTGCTTTTTCAGACTGTTTTTAAGTGTGAAAACCCCTCCCCCTACACCTTTCCTATGGGCTGCATCCAACTATTTTTTATACCAACATTCAAGCACGGCCACCTTATGCTTCGATCAGCAAGGTATGAGGTTTGAACAAACTCCTTTTTGTTTCTTATTCATCACACAACTACTTTTTACTGTCAATTTTCATGTGAACAACAGAGTTCAACTCCATGTGTGCTGAAAATGTGTGCCATTATTCCCATTTATATGATAAATCAAGTCTAACTATGAAGGCTGGGATTTCACTCAGTTGCTGTTCAGAACAGGTATAAATACTTCTGCCTTTAGACATGGTCAGACAACACTTTGTACCACCCAGTTCATTTGAAGCTTGCCTCTGCCTTTGGGGACAGGATAAGGAGCTCAGACATCCAGACAGAGCTCAGAGTAGCTGCGTCTTCATATTGACAGGAACCAGTCGAGTTGGTTCAGGTATCAGATTAGGATGCCTCCCTGTGGAGGTATTCCAGATACATTTAACTGGGAGGAGACCCAGGATCTGACTCTGAACATGCTGGAGGGTTCACATATCCCATCTGGTTGAGGAATGTCTTCGGATCCCAGAGAAGGACACAGCAAAATGAAGGGCACCTTGGTTACTTTATAATACATAGTCTGTTGCCCTTACAACCTGGACTCAGACAAACGGCACAGAGTGGATGAATGGACTAACAAATACATCGAATGCAATTGTGGCAAGATGCACAGCTACTAACCATCTATGGCCTAAGACCCTGGTCACAAATTGTGTTTGCAGGATTTTGCTTGTCATTGGGTTTTTATGAAGGTTCAATACTAGATACAAATCTATCTGCATTTTATCTAGAGGGCAATTTTTTTGTATGCTATTATATGCCAAGTGAAAGTAATTGTATAAATTGACTTTGCTATTGTGTTTAACCTGACACAAAAGTGCTGTGCAGATACTCGCTGTCATTAGCAAATCCACTAATAGAGACACTTCCCTTCAGATCAACTGAACTAGATGAAAACGTTTTACATAAATGACCATAAATGGTGCTGTGACCAAGCCCTCAGAGGGCAGCGTCTCTGTGGAGGAAGTTTTGATCTGATAACAACTGCTCTTGACTTGGAGAGCACATAAATTACCTCCATGTTTCCCATGAAGACAGTCTAAAGAATTACTTTTCATTCCATGTGAATTTCCTTTGCTGCGTTCACACTCACGCACACCTGGAAGCCTGTTGCTATACAGACTGTGTTGATTGATATTTCCCTCCACCACCAAGCTCTCCTGGCCCCAGTTCTCAGCTTTTTAGTACCATCCTCGCTCATGGAATCTCTTGCCTTATGCTTTTGCCATATCTCAGTAATTTAGTATGTGCTGTTTCTGTTCTGGTCTGTATTGTTGTGGATCTCTCACTGCTGCTGCTTGAAATATTACGGCACAGCCATTTCTACCAGTATGAACATGGTTTTCCTTTATAATTGTAGTACATTGTTCAGATTTACTCTGAAGAGTAGCCTAGAATGTCTTATTGTCAGCGCCAGATATAGGCCTTCATTACTAATTATTCCAAAGGGTGCATCCACACCTAGATTGTTTGGTGCCTTTCAAATTAACTCATTTTCCTGTTCATTTTGGTTATTTTGGGCTGGTGTGAGCAACAATTGAAGTATGCTATTTGATGAACAAACAGACAGACAGACTTTTTGAAAGGGGTCACAGTCTTGTGCAAGTCCAGTCTGCTGTGGTTCATTGGTGGTGACAAAGCAAGGAGGATGGACTGGATTATGTGATAGTACATGATAACATGATGATAGCTTCAATTTAAAAGATAAACTATTAATAAATCTCATTACAAGGTCCATTCAGTTAGCCCAGCATCACCAGATTTAATTTGCAAATGCATCTGCCAGAGTGAATGATACATAATGAGCTCAGCAGATTGCTCTGGTTCCCAGGCTACCATTCAGTAGCTGTTCTGTAACTTTTGATCATATCACATCATCTTCATCATCAGATGACGATCCACAGGAATTGTAAATGTTCAAAGGACTTATTGGTCCTGAAAAAAATATTTTTGAACAACTGCAATTCTATGACAACTAGGCAGAATCCATCTGCTGATAAAAATCATGTGATATGATTAAAATCTCTAAAAGGACTTTGTGGTGAGATTGTTTTCTCAACGGTTGTTTCTGAGGTAAAAAAAAATTACCTGTTCACATGGCTGATTATTACAACTGTCAAGAGAGCAATCTTGTATCATATCTAAAAGACAACATATACAGTAGAACACGCCTCTCTTTTGTCCGGTTTCTACCTGTCTGTCATCATTCATGTCATATGAAGTTCAGCATTCAGACTGATAATGCCAATGATCGGTTATTTTATGCCAAGCTGTTTGTGACACAGAAGTTCACCCATGATAGACAAGACCTGTGATAAGATAAACACATAATGCTCAGTGAAGTGCAGTGAAGTCACCACAGTTTGATTTCCACATGTGGCTTAACTGATGATGCAGGATCACATCACCAAAACTGGCCAATGAATGAGTCACCTGTCAGGCCGTGTCACTTCATGTTTATAGCTCTTGGTTTGTTTGTAATAAGTCAGCAGGAACACAAAGCAGGCCAAAACTATGTAAAAAAGCAAAAATGTTGGATATTTATTTTTTCTTGTCTTCTGGATGAATGTATGTAATAAAAACTGCCTTAAATGTCTCCAACTGAAGTAGATCCGGTAAATTACTGGTGTACATTGCTTGTCTATAGGACACTGGTGTGAATGTTTGGATCACATTCTATACAAATGCACATGATGTTCTTCTCCTTACACTTACCCTTATTCTTCTCCGACTTTATCTGGGTTTATTGTGGTGTCAGTGGGTATGTTAATGTCAAATGTGTCTCTTGCCCAAAGGAACACACATCTAAAGGAATTGTATGCCTGTGTCAGTTTGCTGATTGTGGTGTGTTTTGCAGGCAACTACAGCAGCAACAGCAGGCAGAACTGGAGGTTCACCAGAGAGATGGACTGACTGCCTACGATCTTTCCCAGGTAACCATCTGCTTTAGAGCAAGGCTAACAGCAGGTCATGTAAAGTAATGCTTGTCTGTATATGGTATAATTTTTACACTTGTAATATGTCTTGTTTATGTGTGTTGACCCCAGGAAGAGTACCGTATTTTCCGGACTATAAGTCGCTCTGGAGTATCAGTCGCATCAGTCAAAAAATGCCTCATG